GGGTCGGCTGTTTTTTTTCACAGGGGGGGTAATGTAGAGGAGTAGGATGGGGAAGTGGCATCACTTGTGCTGTCCAGGGCGATGACGTGACGTCATGCGCTCGGGGCAACAGAGTGACGTCACGGCTCCTGAAGGATAAAAAGGGGACCCCGTGACGTAAGAGGGGTCGTAGCAGGAGAGTAGGGTCTGAGAAGGGTGAAACGGGGAGCGAGGTGCAAGAGGTTAGGGATAGGGGAGAGCACAGTGCCAGGCTAGACGTGGCTGTGCTCCTCGATCGGCCGTGTTGGTTGATCCCACGGCCGGGGCAGAGGAGACAGCACAGGGCAGCCGGCTGTGTCGGGACCTAGCCCGGGACCCCTAACCCCTGGGGAGTTGTTCACCCCTGTGTATTGTTAAAGATTTGTAATAAAACCTTGGCGGAAGCCCCTACCTTACCTTAGCCTCCGAGTGAGGCGTCGGGGACTCCTCAACACAAGTAATCACCCCGGTCAGGTCTGCTGATGGCAACGCGCTTTTCAAGGACCACCAAGAGATCTTGGAGAGATGGCAGAGCACTTTTATAATCTCCTCAACAACATAAACCCCACAGACCCGCTCATCCTCGAGACTGCCTGATATCCCGCCCATTCATGAACTCGACACTCCACCACGATTTTCTGAGGTCGACCATGCAGTCAAAGGCCTGGAAAACAATACAAGTGCTGGACCCAACGGCCTCCAAGCTGAGATGCTGAAGCACGGGGATACCTCCTCCATCACTGCTTGCAACTTCTCATCAAGTTCATCTGGCTGTCCAAAACCATCCCACAGGAATGGAAGGACGTGAATATTGTAGTTATCTACAAGAAGAAGGTGACAAAGAGGCTTGCGGCAACAGCAGAGGTATCTCACTTATTTCAGTCGACGGGAAGGTCCTTGCCAGGAAAATGCACTACTGGCTCGCAGAGCAGCTATCCGAAAACATATTCCCAGAATCCTAGTGGGGCTTCAGGAAAGGCAGATCTTTGTGCCACAACAACTGCAGGAAAAATGTCAGGATCAAAACAAAGACTTTAATAGCTTTCATCGACCTCACCAAAGCATCCGACACCATAAACAGCGAGATACTCTGGCAGCAGCTAATCAAACTTGGGGTGTTGTTTCTCTTCAACGTGACTTTACCGAAAAAACTAAGAATATAACATTCTAAAACGGTTCAATAAACGAATGCCTGCCAGAGTGGTGCTTAATGGACTTCAATCAGGGCCCTTCAAAATGGAGGTCGGGGTCAAGCAAGGCTGCGTTCTGGCTCCGGTAATATTCAACATGCTCCTTGCTGCCATCACAAACCTTGCACACAACTCCCTCAACTCAATCGACAGAATCCAGCTAGAGTACTATCTGGATGGAAATCTCTTCAACCTAAAACGCCTCCAAGCCCAAACAAAAACCAGACGCCAACAGTTATTTGAACTGCAATATGCAGACGACTGTGCACCCATGCTTCATACCCCAGAATCCATGCAACACGCCCTCAACCGTGTCTCCTCCGACCACTCTGTGGGCCTCCAAATCAATACTTAGAAGACAGAAATAATTGCTCAACTCTCATACACATGCACCTCACTGCCTATCTTCAATATCGGTGGTGTTCACATCAAATTGGTTACCCCATTTCACCTATCTCGGTTCTGTCCTCTCCCCTACGTGCACCAATTCTTCCTGCATTGAGGTAAGCATGGCTACATGACATCTCCACTGGCTTGACCATGTGATCCGCATGCCTGATCACCTGCTCCCCCGTCGAGTTCTCTAACGCCAACTCACCTCAGCCAAACGCTCAACTAAAGGACAGAAAACGTGCTTCGAGGACCACAGCAAGGACCTGCTGAAGCGCTGTAACATCAATCCCTCCATCCTGGAACCCCTGGCGCTGGACAGGTTCACTTGGTGGTCCACCTGGGCCAAAAAAGTTCAGCACATGGAAGATGCCATCTCACTGTGGAGATGCGAGAGATGCACCCAGAGACACCCCCAGACACCAACGCACAACTGGGACAAGGCCATCCGAGATCCAACACACGTGTCCGATCTGCAGCAGAGTGTGCGGTTGTCGCATCGGCATCCACAGCCACTTGACGTGGCACAAACGCCGAAAGTGCTAACCCACCCACAAGAGGAGCAATCGTCGTCTTTTTCTATGGACAGCCAAGAGAGAGGTCTGGTAACTATAGTAGTTTCTACCGACGATAGCAATAACTACACATTTCAACGGGGGGAGTGGGGGTGGGAAGAGGACATCAGTGGGGGCGACAGGCGAGGCACACAGCACCAAAAAGCTTTCCAACGAGCTGAAGTGTTTTCTTAGCCTGTGCTGCAGAAGATTTTGCGCAGTCTGGCTTGTCTCCATGCACGCTGTCCAGGATTATTCTCAGCGCGTGCTCTTGCAACATTAATGGTGCAGTCTGGCTTGTCTTGATGCAGGCTGCTCTGCTGTTTACAAAGCGCGTGCTGCCGAAATGCCTTCATTGTTTGGTTGCTGTTGAGCGCGGCAACTCCTCCCTTTGTTTTGCACGTCACAATGCTTCCACTCGTTTGTCGAGTTTTTTTTCTTGGCATTTTTTATTGTTAACAAAATGACCACCGAGTCTTTAGCGCCAGAACCTCCCGTCAACACTAAACAACCGTTTGCATTGCTCGAGGAAACCACGCATGTGCTGATGCGTCGTGGCTCAGTTATCATCAAGATCAGCGTACATTGTATTTTGAATTACTTTGTTTATATCCTTGGTCCAATACAAACTAACAGCGAGTGTTCATTCGGGGGCTTAATTTGTTGGCTTAGTGTACCTTGTTGCAATGTACACCCAATAGTTGCATGTTAAAGCGTTACAACGCAGGCAAAATGACGTTCATAGGCAGAAGAGTGCGTATGTGTGTGCCAGGCATTAATATTACAAATGTTATCAGTTCAGGATAAAGTAATTTTATCCTATGATATTTCAAGTTATAGGTCAAGTATTTTGATTTAAAGCTTTCGTGACTGCAGTAATTCATATTCTTGGTTCTTTCGGTAAAGTCACGTTGAAGGGAAATAAAATATATAAAACAATACAATTTTCACGACGTTTCGACTGTAGCAAACTGTATTAGTCGAAACGTCGTGAGAATTTTATATATATTGTATTATTTCCCTTCAACGTGACTTTACCGAAAGAACCAAGAATAGGTCAAGTAGTTCGTGCATTTTTATAGTAACAGGTATGACTTAGAAGGAACATTCAAATCTTCGACAATAGAGTACTAGTTCATGCGTCATCATACGTCTGTTATTATGCACAATTGAGTCCATGCGAAATGGTCTTCACAGGTTGTCCGTTCCTCATACAGTGCGAGGGAGTTTTGGAGAAACGCTATTCAGGTTTATTTTTCAGGAAGGGAGGCCATGTTCTGTGAGGGGGTCCGATTTCCAGGCTGTTTGGATGCAAACGGTCTTCCTAACAGCCGAGTTTTCCAGGCAGATGGTTTAACACAGGTCCCAGAGTTCAGGCAGGTGTAGACGGGAGACTCCTGGCTATTAGCATTTGTGGTGGCCATGCCCAAGGAATCAACCATGAGGAACCGCGTTGAGGCAGAGTTTCTCCAGCAATTACCCTAATGCAGCTAGAGACGGACGTGTCGCCACTGCATCAGCACCCAGGGGTGTGAAGCACCAAGGCACGCTTGCACAAGGCCACAAAGAATATCTAGTCAAGCCTCCATAGCGTGGTGGGGTGGTCGTCTTTTCCAGAAGGCGAGCATTTTTGACAATGTGGACATGCTTTGTAATGTCACAACCCAATCTTACCTTGATGCTAGTTAAAGTTAAGATTTCGTTTCTCCCCCCTTGCCCCACATTATTGATCGACCTTTGATATAGCTTGTTAGTGTGATGGGAAAGGTCCCTGGAACATAATGTCCACATTTGCATGGTAAGGGAATTTTTTTTATTACATATTAAATAAAATAAATCTAGATTCAGATTATTTATGCATCGCAAGGTGCTCTTGTTTAAAGAAGCCAATGGCCGAAACGTTAGTAAAAGTTTCTGCCATCGAGGGACTTTCCTTTGGGAAGAAATGTGGCCAAATGCAGCACTAATACTTCCTACATATTACATGCATTCAATCCTAGTAAATGGTCAGGACAGCAGTAGCGTATGTCAGAATTTTATTTTTGACAATGGTCAGCAAGCTATGCAAGTTCCAGCAATCACAAGCCGTCATCAATATCCACTCCCGTCGAGCACCACAGCCCGGCTCCTGCGCCTCCTGACGGCAATGGCAGCAGACAGGAGCGCAACGACTGCTGTGCCAATGACGAGGAGAAGGGACAGAGTCCCAGCCGAGGCCCACGATGAGGAGGGATCCTCCAGCAGCAGCAGAGTAGCGTCGTTAACAGGAGCTTCTTCAAAGAGCACGGGGCCCTGCAGCGACACCACGTGCTTTCCTACCACGCTGGAAGCGTCAGAGACAGCGTTGCGCTCTGGAGAAACAAGAACAATCGGTTGATGACCACTGGCCCATACAAAAAGGACACCATTTGCTTCAGGTCAAGTTCATCAGAAAATCAAATGAGTAGGTTATTAATGGCATGCCACGGCTTGTCAAAAACCAGTCTGCAAAGTCAGTGAACGTGATCTAAATAAGAAAAACATAGCAACATTACCACCAACAATGAAAACCCCTTTGTCATCTTGGCAAAGGGTTACTCTGCGAGTCTTTTCTAGGAAAATAAGCGCAAGATATTAAATAGAGGTTGCGGTGGTGCTCACTGTAGCGCCTGGTCTGTCCACACTGCCGATTGCACTCGGTGACGAAGTTGGGGCTGGAGCTGTCGCACACCAGGATAGAGCAGTGTAGGTACACCTGTGGTAGACAGAATGCATCGCGCCAGTAAGTAAAGTTTCACATGTATTAGGTAGTCCTTCTGCCCTCTTCAGTTGTACAAAGCACATGTCATCCCTCCATGAGAACCTGGTTTTAAAGTTGAAATTATCAGGCACTCACGACGTCACGGGTGGTGCTGCGGTCAGAGTTCATGAAGGCGAAGGCCTGGAGTGCCAGACGCTTGTAGTGAGAAGGAAGTGGCAGGTCAGCAACACCAGGGAAGAACACACTGCAACAAGGAGACTGCACGGGGCAGCTGCACATGCAAAAAAGTGCCGTTTACCCTTAAGCCAACGCAAGTGTCATGCATTGGATTGAATGCACACATCTTTATTTAAATCTGCACGCGAGGATTAAGGTCAGCTTTACAGACAAGACATGTTCACGATGAGCCAGGCAGCCCAAATGCCAATTTGCAGTGCATCTGTGCGATGCAGCCATCACTGCATGAAGCCGGCCTTGTACAAACCACCAGCTCTGGGAGGCAGAGGATGGCTGTGTTAACATCCAGAACATCAAACCAAGGAGCATTGTGGCCATCGACATTTTGGATGGCACTGCAATCTTGTTTAAACGACGCCAGTACACAAGCCGTTGTCATTTAAAAAAGGACGTAATTAGCATAACTCTGCTTATGTGGGGGAATAAAAAAAAGACAACCAATGCCTCGAACCAGGTTACCTCTGCAGGCCCTGCTGTGGCAGTGAGAGGGTTTAGAGAGCACTACCCCGCCCAGCCTCACCCATTCGTCACAAGCTTCCACTGCGTGGGGTCGGTGTCAACTGCCGTGGGCGTGGCCCAGCAGTCCTTCAGGAAGAGCACCAGTGTGGGGTCAGAGCGGTGCAGCAGTGACGTCTGCACGTAGAGCGGCGTTCCCAGAAGCGTTACCAGCGGGTACTGCCAGGGCTGGTACGGCGTGGTGTAGGAGTTGTCTGGCAGAGTGCGGACATGGTTCACAAGAAATTTGGATTAGAGGCGTAAAAGTCCTGTTTAGAGAGCACATTGGACAAGGCAAAGCACAAATCCTCCAAAACGTGTGCATTACTTTTGAATTGAACCAGGGCACAAGATCAACATTTTCCTGGCATAGAAACCGTGGTTGATATTTCATTTGTATTTTCAGAATACATCGTCACCCTCACCTCCGTTTAGCATGGTTGGCAAAATAGGGTGTATACAACGGCATCTCTAAATGTCTGTAGATGTTGTAAGGGGCACGGTTTCACACGGAGGGGTGGAATCAGGTGCTAAAAGTTGGCCAAGCTCTAGTCCCATTTAGCCAATTAGTAACCAATGAAGCTATTGACACCCATTCGTTCAAGCAAAGGTGACCTAGACAAATGAGGCCAAGAAAGCGTTCCCATTTTTCTTTAAATAATGCCTTCAAGGAGACTGTTTTGGTTGATGGGGTGTGCAAAAAGACCCATTTGGTGGAGCCATGGGAATTAGGGGTATTGTCATCCCTATCAATGTTGGCCCCACACTAACAATATGGTTTCAGCTGGTAGCTGATAGATTCAAAATCTCAGCAGAAATTAGCATTTGAGGTTAAACGTCGTACCATGGAGAATGTGCAAGTCGTTCTAGTTAACTTATGGCTAACTAAGAACTATGTTTGCAGGTTTACAATACTCTGACAGCACAGCCTAGCACGTTGTCCGTTTGTTGCAGTGGTTTGCAGTTCAAGTCCAGCAGCCATGCCGATTAATGCTGCAGATGCATCAAAATCTCATGCAGCCTGAATAAATGGAAATTAAAGCAGGGTTGAGCTCCATCTCAGCACTGGATAAAATAAGCACAACTTACAGCTGGCATCCAGCCAGAGGTAATACGGAGAATACAGACCCAAGTCTTCCCTGGGTAGAGCGACACCACAACCTGTGTTCCCCTAAGGTGGCATTTGTCCGCTCAGAGGTGCACGGTGTGGGAGAAGGCAGCACTCACCAGTGAAGACCTGGAGCAGCAGGGAGAGGGGTCCAGTGGCCGTGGCTGGAGGTGGCGGTGGCAGAGTGCTCACCTGCACTCCAAGCTGCAGGTCGCCACTTCCAAGGAAGCGGCATTGAAGAACCATCCTGGTAAACAGACACCACCCGCCATAAAGGTATGCACCACGCCCTCACGGCAGAAATAGATTGCAGGGTGTTTTGCAGACGTACCATTCAAGGGACCACCTTGGTTAACACCGTGTTTACATTAGCTATAAATCATATTCCTACTACTTCAGGAGATGTTAAAATCATGCGAGACGAAGATAAGTCTCCCTTGTGCGTTGAATGTCCCAAATTTGAAAATTAAATCGTTGATTATGGAAGCAGATTGGTCATGGTTCTGCAGGCGAATGCTGCAAATATTTAATGTCGCAGGGACAGTGGCCATTGATTGGGGTGGGTCTCCTCTGCAAGACTCGTGCTTGACCCTCATGAGCAGAGCACTTGCTGAGGGGTGGTGGCAGTGCTTACTTGTATGTGGACGACTTGGTGATTGCGACGTTTCCATCGACGCAGAGCTCCCGCTCAGAGGCCAACTGTAACTCGTACACGAGCTCTTGCCCACTCCACTGGACACAAAAAGTAGGTCACACAAAACGATAATGCCATCGAGTGATCAAGCAGAAGCATGATACCTGGTATTATCCAAGAGTTGAGATGGCTCAAAATGAGATATTATGATCCCCATAAATTATGCTTTGGCACTCGATTCATTTGACACTCAATCATAAAGGGACCCTGCTGTTCTTTAGAAACTCGTGCATTATTCTGCTCTGCACATCAAGGAGTTGTGCATCGTGAAGGGTCTGATGCAGAACGTCACCAAGACCTATGCAAAGTACTTGCGATTGTCTTCAGCAATAAATTAGCTATGATTGATATGGCCGCATCTAACTTGAAGGGACCACATTTTCCTGGTCCGACAGAGTTTGATGAACCTGGACACAACGCAAAACCAGACCAACGTTAGTGGTAGAAGTTTCGATATTTTTCGTAAACTTGCCAAAAAAACCATCTCGACATGTCCATTCCCAAATCGAAAGTGGACGCACTAGTGCAACGGATTGTCCACCTGGAAAATATTTCGTTCGGCGAGGGCTGTTTCCCAGACCAGTGTAAAATAATGAATGCAACACCACTTTAAAATGTTGGCTTGAGCCATAGTGATCCCACCAACTAGTGCCCCATCCCACAGGTGATAAGTCGAAGGTCAGAGTGCATGTGAAGTAGTTACTTGGCAATGGTGCTGCAACAGGCAGATTCAACCCATTGCAGTATTGATCTACCCGAAGTTTTATAGAACGGAGGTAGCTTAACTAAAGAGCCCCAGTTAGGTCTCCAAGAACTTATATGACTGGATCACACGATATTTGACACCATTGAACGAGGGCTACTAAAATCTGGCAGCCAAGGTTCGGTTTATCCAGTACGGCACTGGGGTGGATCGTCTCATAACTATATGGTCGATCAATTCATCAAGCTGGATGACGGCCATCACAAGAATCAATCCTCGGGCCCTTCCCATTTTAAAGCATAGGTCTTTGTTTGCCAATATCATATTATCGCATGACAAAGTGCCATCAATATGCCGACGATAGACCGCAGTGAAGTCAATATTTTTTATATGGAGCCTCAGGAATATTGTAGATACACTAATATTTGACACTGAAATCAAGCGTAGCTACTTTTTTGTCACGCAATTGGTGCCGATCGCCAGACTGGTAGAGCCTTTGGAGACGTTTTCTGGTGATTTCTCAATTGCATGCCGGTTTCGCCAGAAAGGCCCAGGACCGGCAGATAATCACTCGCCAGATAATCGATGAACAAGTGCAGTCCATCGTATGACTTAGCCCCCAATTTCAGTGTCCTGTTTCCCCATAGCGTCGATCCTTTGTGTAGCGGAGTTTGGAGGAGGGTTTTTGCCATCTTTACAGCTTGCGAGTGATGAGACCGTCCACAGTGACTGTATTCCTCGTGGTCTATTACTTGTAGCCAGGGTGAACCCCTGCAGAGGAGCACGCTTAACCGATTCTTTCTCCCAACTCTCGGCATTCCCCTGCTTTGGGAAGTTAAATTTGGGAATGCAGTGGTTTCCATCCCGAGCTCCAAACCCAGCCACCAGAGGTATATTCCTGGCAACGGCTAACCTTGGTGGTGAGCAGCCTTTTTGAATACAGCCTGTTGCACCCGTTTACGAAATAGGAGGCAAGGAAAATGCCCCCCATGACCTACACGGTACGTGGAAGCCGTAGTTTAATGGATTCAGTCACTCGCTCCCTTTCTCTTCACGTCTTCTGTGGTTATGTGGTAAGTGCTGTTCCAGTCCTTGTTCTGGGAGTGGCTGCGCTGGGGATGGCTGTCGCAGTAAGTGCCACGGTGGCTTTGTTTGTTTCGAAGAGGCGCTGCACAACTTCTTCAAGGGAATTGGAAACGAACTTCTGATCTGCACATTTGCATTGCTAAACTTATAATAAAACTCTGGTGCCTTACCTATGCTCTTATTCTGTCACTTTTTGCTTGTTGCGTTTTCGTTGTGTAACTGTACCATAGCCTGGGCAGTTAGCACGATTATATTAACCGGTCCTAGCCGTCCCCTAGATCTACTTAGCCTCAAGTGCTGTCTAAACTTCGTCAATGGGGAGACAAAGGCGGCCGGGCGTGGTGCTGACCACCCATCCCTGCGTGTGACGATTCGGGAATCGAACCCAGGCCCCTTCTTGCTGTGAGGCCACACGAGATGTTACCACTGCCCTCCACCACCCTCCTCCTCTACGTGGACAACGCTCACAATATATGCATATACTCACACGCACACACACGTGCACTTATCCAAAAATACACACACATATACATAAACCTTGTCCACATACATGGGTATGTGTACACACACCTATCGATGTGTAGAAGACATTACGATTACAAAGAAAGTGCTAGAAAGCACACGTTAAGATATTTGGGAACAGGTGGCCGGAAGGCACTGTACTCATTCAATAAAGAATATACGTGTTGCAGTCGAGTGGAGGGGCCATTGTCCGATAGGGGCGGGGCTGAGCAAGTATATGAGGAGGAGCGAGGCCCGCCGACGGGGCACTTGTTCAGGGACTAATCGACGGCCAAGGTGGACGACATTGAGGCCGGCTGTTCGAGAACAACTGAATTGAACCGTTGGGACTGACTGTTCGAGAAACAACTGAATGAAAATCATTGGCACTGACTGTTCATGAAACAATTTGGTGGAAACCATCGGGGCTGAAGATAGTCATAATAATTACGAGTGTGGCGGTTATTACACTCGGCACTACATACGTTTCAATAGAAATAAAGGTTCTACTTTAAAAAAAAAATGGTGGCAGTGGTGGAATTCAGTCTAGCGTATCCCGAATAAAGACTGGGAGGGGAGCTCCCTTAGAGGAAGAGGTGTCATCCCTAAGTGCCAAAGGTCCCCGAGAACTGGAACCCATCGAGAACCGGAACCCTCTGATAGCTAAATTCCCGAAAGAGGCGGAGGCCCCGCCACGGACTAGGGAACCAGTATCGCTAAGACAAAAAGACTAGCAACACATAGTTAACAGACTGGACCGCCATACCTCGGCCATTGATTGGTTTCTGACAGCGATCGTTGAGGAGAGAGAGGGGAAAGGAGTAGATACTGTGCAACTTGAGCAGCCGCCGATCCCCGCAGTTCTAGGAGCCGAGGTCGACAAGCCAGAACAACACCAAATTCCTATACTCATTGGTTTTTTCGGTAAAGTCACATATGTAGAAATCAAATAAAAAATGTAACTAAATAAAATTAAATTTTAAATAATCACTACGTTTCGAATGCAACACAAGCGATCAACATCAGGTGGACATGGGGTAAAACACATAGCGAGGGAACAAATAGGGTGGACATCACGCACATAGCACATAGAGAACGGTAAACTGCACGGAGGTAAATACAA